TCCCAAGACTTCTTCTCTACTAAGTAACCATGGTCTGAAGATCGCAGTTGCCAGAGTTTAACTCACTTAACCCCCTGCGATATCACCACGCCCCCTCCCCGTGTTCGGCATTTGGTATGATACGAATAACGCCTGACGTACCCTGATCTGGCTCCCGTGTTGGTCCACCGCATCTACCGTGCGGCCCGTTTAGGAGGCACATCACACTTCGAACACCGACCCCCTCACGGGTGGTTATGCAGTCGTTCGCTTGTCAACTTCTTCCCATCTATTCTCCACTAGCTCTGTACCGAATGCACTAGATCTCGCATCTGGAAATTTCCGTTCTTCCCTTCCCACATGAAACCGGACCTGAAGCTAGCAGCGTCAAGAGTTTTACCTATTAATTTAACCCACTGCGATAGATTGTCCGTGTACACTTAGACAGGGAGATTGCCAGGTTGTCTCTAACGGTTTGCTCAGTCTGTTTATTTAGCATAAAATCAAGTTTATCTTGTGCGGACACTTCTTCCCCTTGTGTCAGTTTTTTAATCATTGGCAAAGAGTTTCGATAGGACAGAGATCCGGATTGTTAGGAAGAAGCTAACCAGGTAGGAGGCGGAGACTGGGTGTAGTTTAAAAATTTGGAATTGCTAATAGGCGTTATCAGATTCATACCTCATTATAGCGATCAACAGGAGAGTTATCATGTAAAAGTATGGCATCTATTCTACATCTATGGATACCGTTATAAAGGAAGACATCCTTAGCGACGTCAAGGAAGAACTTGCTCCCACCATCAATGTTGGGAGTCGAGGAACAAGGCAGTAACAAAAAGACCATAATTAGAGACCTCTACTAAGCGAATACGAACTGAAAACTGCCAACTGTCTGTCTGATTTAAAGTAAATGTCCTCCTCCTCCAGAGTTTGCTAAAGTTCTAGGAAAACATAATGAGTACTTTGGTGGAACGGAGAAAGTTTGTTGGCTTGTAATTAAGAAAAATCCTTAACTACCCCACATACAAAGGGGGGGACTGTAAAGAAAAAACATATCCTGTTGATCTTGGCATTTTGTTCTACACATGAACTTTTCTGTTTTCGCGTTCGAAAAAAATGCACAACAACCAGCGGATTCTTCTTTTCTACAACAACCTGGTACCGCAGAGGAGTTTATCTCTCGCGGGTCAGTGCAAAAATTTCTATATACATTTTTGCAGGTTAAACGAAACTTCCCCGCGCCGAGCCAAGTTTTTTCTCTACCTTTCGTTTTGATTTTAATTGTTGTTGAAAATACAAAAGGGATGACCCAGTTTTTCTTTACCTTTACGCGCCATCCTATTTACTATGGGAAATTTAGACACCCTCGATGTCACTACGCTCCCCTTCACACAGACACTCACGCGTATTACTCAGACAGAGTGAGACCGTTTCACGACGCGCTGTACCACCAGTGAACTCACGTAATATTCATACGTGGTGACATCACTTCCGTTGATGTCGAGGATCTCCTTGCCCGATTGTCTGATGAGCCTTATATCCGGTTGAATGACTCTGCGATTCAGCCTGTGGTCAACCGAATGCTGCAGGAACTTTACGTCCAGGTTGAAATCGGCGACCAACCGTCCTGATAACTAATGCGGCGCTTGAGCTGCATACTCGCCTGTTTAAACGTGGACAACGCAATACTCTGTGAGATCTGTTCGGATAAGCTACCAGACTCCAGGCTCTGGCCACGCTCTAACTGAGCACCCCATTAGGTAAGCAAGCTGACCAGACAGGTCGCATTGCTACCCTAGTGGCGCGTCATGCCCGAACATTCAACAGACATTGGTCTCCAACAAAAATGTCCGACAGAGTTACTACCTTTCATCCCGAAGGCACTCCCAAGTCAGAACGCGACGCTCTGGAGTTGGCCTTCTGCCTCTCAACGCACCACGCCAAAACGAGGCCTCTCAAGAATGACTACAAAGACTCAAAAGGACACGGCTCCAGTCAGAAACATTTGTTCCACCCTTGATAATCTTCAGTCAGCCTGAAGGTCGACGCCGGCTTTCCCAGTCATGCAAACAGCAGTCAAAAACCCTGTGCTAGTAACCATCATATCTATGGTCTGAAAGCACGCAATTGCATCAAAGCGTGCCCACTCCAACAATCGCCACAACAGTTGCACGACATCGTCTACTTACGCGATGATCCCTGACGTTCTTTTGCAGCAACCACCAAGTAAGTACATCAACAGGGCAGACGCCACCGCTAAAGTCCGGCCCTAAGGCCACATCAAAAGGCAACGATAAGAGCACATGCGTTAAAAAAAAAACTTGTACGCAGACTGTACCTGACATGACAAAAAAGGAAAAAAGTCAAACAATGAAAAATAAATAACAGTAAGTAATCCCACAGGGTCAGATGTATCTTTGCTTCTCGTGGGCTTGCATATATGTGTATAAATATATATGTGTGTGTAAAGGATCATCAGAACTGAATATACAGAGTTGCATCTGCTTTTGGGGTATAGGAAAAGAGAGATTGGGGTTTAGGGGGGGACAGAAAATCCGAAAAGGAATAAAATGCTGACTGGCTGCGCTGCCCGATCACATAAACGTCAAAATGGTTGACGGAAGACCACAGAAAAGTGAGAGGGCAGAACCGGAAGAAAGAGTATACAGAATAGGTATATCTATCGGTAAAAAAATTGTTGAAGGCGGTAGTCGTTGGCCGGACAGAAGAGGACGAGGCTACACGCGGGCCTACCAGTTGGCCGGATTCAATTTCAGCTTGTAGAGTTTCAACTTGAAGCCGAGGAATTCGCTAACCAAAGCCGAGAAACAGGAGAGTAGGACGAGCTTGAAGACGTTGTAGACCAAGGGGTTCACGGCCCATCCGCAAATGCGGTAAGGTCCGTCTACTTCTTTTAGCAAACACTCCGCCAAACGTAAGACTTGATTGGTAATTGACAGTTCTTCCTTCTTATGAGGCTTTTTCTCCATGCTCAGGTAGACGTTTATCTAAGAAACGAAATGAGAAAAATAAATAAAAAATGTAGAAGCTAGCTCTAGAAAAAAGTAGGAATGAAATACATTAAATTCAAGGGACCAGTCTTAAAAAGCACATAAAACAGCCACAACACATAAAGCAAAGCTTTGGAGAGCAATTGATTTGTTATTGCCTGCGTGTCATCAAAAACATGTATCAAGTTTGTTCCCGATCAAAAGATATCGAGGATAGTTGGTTGATAAATCACAACAAAAGCTGCTATCTAGTCGGCCCCATGACTTCACGCTTACGACGCAGGACCGTCTACTGTTGAAAATTGTAACAAAAAAATTAAGAGATCGAAAGGATAGGATGTGATGGTGACATTACGTGCAGAAAGAGTCTGATTAGGGATTACTGGCAATGTGTGCGAGGAAAAACAAGCACAGGAGATGGCGAAAGCGATTATATCCTGCTATCGTTGAATCAACTTTCAAACGAAAAAGAGCATTCTTTCCAGGCCTATTCTACCGAGTACAAAATTAGAAACGACGGGATGCAGTGTCACAAAAATTCGTACTAATAAGAAACGCTGGGATCGTACGTTAACATTCAGTTTGTGAACGATCTGATAAGGTTCAGAAGTAGAAGATGCGATCGCTAGAACGAGCGGTTTACTTGCCTGACCTTTCGGATTCTGTCGAGAACCCTTCGTCAGGGGTAACCGTAGAATAGGGTGATATATGTACAGATTACGCAGTATTTATATTTCGTAGTGGTCAAGGAACCCCATACGCACTACAGTTATCAGCCCCCGTAACCACCACTGGGGGTCATAATTGGCGCGGTGATGGCTTGGCAGACCGCTTCTGCGTCATTGATTGCCGCAATTTCGTCCTCCGTGTTGGATGCGGCCTTGATAATTACACGAAAATTATGTTCGCTGTTGTACTTGTACTTGTTCCGATTAGCTCTTGTTGTTGGATGAATCGGCTTCACGGATGTCACGAATAGCGGCGGCCCATTGGCGGTGGTCAGAAGCGAGCTCTTCACAGACGTTAACCCATTGTTTGTTCCACTGTCGCAAGCCGTAAACGGTTACGAGGCCC